TTTTAAGGTTGACCAAGAAAGGATGAAATGCACATAACTTATAAATCTGACTCTGGCAGTCTAAGCGTTTGACTTATATTATATGACAGTCGACCGATATACCACTGACAGTCAACCAATATTCTGCCGGCAATCAATGGTCAACGTATCGGCCGAGTGTCGGGCGCTATATAGACCGAAATATCTGCCGATAGTCGGTTGATATGTCGACCGACACTCGGCCAATATCTCGGTCGATATATCAATCGATATATCAGTCAACATATCTTGGTCGATATATCGGCCGAGTGATGGTCAATATGTCAACCGACATATCAGTTGAATGTTGGTTGATATGTCAACCGATACATCAGTCAAGGGGTGCACAAATTACACGTGATCTATTCGGCCTTGGGCCTTATCAACAATCACCTCATAGAAAGTTCAAGCTCATAATCTAATTGTTAACCAATCAGTGCTCGTATTTTCTTTGGGCTATTAATTTTTAATCAGTACTAATCATACTGCAGGGTACACTGTAAATGACATAAAGCTGATTGGTTTTCTATTACTTACCTCTAAAGATTTTAAGGCTCCATCTAAAAGTAAGATCAAATAAATAATCAGTTTTAAAAAAGAAATATTACATACTGAAGCATGCATGTCTGAGGAATCAATTTTTGTACTCTGATTGCACAACACTGTGTAAGGGCAGCTTGCAGTTTCTTTTGTGAAAGCAACTATCTGGAGTCTGCAATTTTGCTTACTAGGTATAAGTGTAGCTGGTTACAAGCAAACACTTCCTGTGAATCTCTTTTGGCAGAAATTTATTGAAAATAACTTTTTTCTCACAGACCACTCACACAAGTGAGAATAAAATTAATCATACCACATGACTATTTTCACAAGGTGTTTAAATTCTATACAAGGATTTAAATTTAAATTGAATTGGCACACAGATATATTTTATACAAGTACCAACTGACCTCAATTTGAAAACAGGGGGGAGGATTCCCATATAAAAATGACGGGAGTGCTAGACATTCCTTACAGGGGTTAAAAAATGAAGAATTGCTTAGCATGCATATATGAGTTATGGATGCACGCGGCAAGTTTGGAGAGCACGAATGAAGCATAAGAGTTGCTCGAGGCGATAGCCAAGAGCAACTCTAGCTTCTTGCCGAAACTTACACAAAAGGAACTTGCACTAAACTCAACAGAAATTTTGCAGCTGAGATGAAACTGCACACGCCATTTTATTGAGCACGGCCGTGTGTACATAAAGATTTTGTTCATGATGGCTCAATAGGAATTAGGTAGGACTAGCGCGTGTGCTATGTTATACTCAGTTTTGGTGCCTCTTAGGGTGTTCAGCCTCAAAAGACCCACAGCTGAAGCTTTTGCAGTATCTTTTAGGGTATTGAGCCCCCCAAAAAATTGACAGAAGATATTTGACATTAATTTACTGATTAAGAGTTTTGTCCTATTTACACCAGGGATTCACAGCTCATCAATAAAAGTATGCACATTTAGTTAATGTGTTGTTTTTGAATTGGTACCTCTTAGGGGTGAAAAAAATCTCAAGAAGCCATGCCCACAAAACAGGATGTTTGTACCTCTTAGGGGTTCTGTTGAAAATTTCTGATGAGCACCCCCCTCCTTTTTAAATAGGGAGTGCCCCCCAGATTTGAAACAAGAAAATTGAGTTCCTTTCATTACATGATGTATTTTCCATGAGATGGTGATGAAATGTGAATAACAACATCCTGATCTTAACAACAAAAAGAAATACCTGCTATGAAATAGACCATTTGTCTCACTGGGTGATCTTTACGTATTGGTGTGATGCCATAAATAACTGCTCCTACTGCTGACCTAATGGAAACATAAGTTTTAAGTAAGTAACCATAAACCAAATAACTGTAAGTTACAATCAAGGGATTTTTTGTGTTACACGCATTACTGATTAGTTAGCGATAAATCTTCCTACAAAATAATCCCTTAATGTCTCAAATTAAACACTCTTAACAATAATTATCTTCCAGTTGATTTCCTCAAGGTCATATGCAACTAATCTTGCCATAGAGATGAACAAAGTTAATTAGTAAAGTGTTGAGATTCTACCCTGCCAAGGTGGTGGGGTAGGGAAGGTCAGGAGTCCAGGTCACAAGTCTTCACCTTCCACTTTTTAGTTAAAAATTTAATAAGACAAATCTGTAGTAACCAACTTTCCATGGGGAAGACTCCCATGTCAAAGGGGTGAGGATGCTAGTTGGAAAATTTGAACCCCTAAGGGAATTGAAATTTTGGTCATATTTTCCACAACCAACTTCCTTACTTCAGTTTGTATGAAGGATAGTTATTACTTTTGCCAAGTTTTTGCAGTAATATGACGTGTGTTAGGTGACAGCTTCACTTTGGAATAAAAGTTGTTCTTGTTGTCTGCATCTTGAACCCAGGGCAAAGTGTGAAGTTCAATCCATTATTGTCTTCTTTCAAATCTCAAAATGGAATTTTCACAAGGTTGACCTACATAGTAATTCACACCATTAAAGACACACTGACGGTAACTTTCAGAAGTTACGGTGATTTCTCACCTCAAGAACAAAACTGCCAAGTAGACAATCCAAGCAGTGTTAGAAATAACATGACTCCGCACAGTCAGATTCAAGACTGTAACACTGAAAAACAACATTCAAAAGGGTTGGCATGAACAGACGTATCCACCGATTGTGGTACCTCAAATTTTACCACAATTCTCATTGCATAACTTCAAAATTAAAAAGCTGAGCAGAAGGCTGTGAGAAAGTGGAAGTATATTGAAGGCAGTTAGGATGGACTGCATGTCTTGAGGACTTCAATAGCACTAAGGGGGGGAGTTACTCCCTATGATGGCCTATGCAGGGAGGCTTCACCCAAAAGGGGTGGGGTACCTTTTTCAGGCTAGAAGTATACAAAACCTGGGAGCAGATTTCCCAAGTTTCCTATGGATTTCCTATGGTTCTGTCTGATCCATTTATTCTTGCAGTATAAATAAAGTTTTTACTTACTATTACTTACTTAAGTTGAGGTATGTGAAGGGGTTGGGAATTCTCATATTTTGATGATATCTGTGTAATGATAGATGGTGACGGTGATGGTGACAGTTGATGGTGATGGTGACAGGCAATGGTGAAGGTTGATGGTGGCTATGACAGTGACGGTGGATGGTAATAGTCAAGGTGACAGTAACCTTGAGTCCAACATAGGTTTGGTGTAGCCTGTGCAGCGAGTGTTCCCGTACAAAGAGATTTTCCACATTCTGGCGCCAAAAAATTGGAGCAAGAGCAAAAACTTGACAAAGCAGGGGGTGGTGGGGTGAAAGGGGGAATACTTGCCCGCAAACCCCTTGATTTTGAAAAATGCCCACTGGTTTTAACAGTTGAGTTCATTTACTGATTGACAACTTTGTCCCTGAGCTGAAATCATTATAGTGCTGCATGTATCTACATACTCCTTTGGAGGGCAATAAGTCAAATGTTTGGCTTAAGACCAGCTTTTCCTGTGGTTTAACTCTAACCATTCATTAGCTTGACGGTCATTTCATTCTCCCGCTGCTAAAAAAAAATTTAGCCATTGAATTATAGAACTGCCTGAAAATGGGAAGCCTTTGTTTGAAAATTGTCAGCGAGAGTAAATTCGCTTTGGCAGGGAAAACAACAACCAGCCACCGGCTTCTAAAATTTCGTCTTTCGTTATCTGGACATGAAAAACGACTCAGTAAAGCTAAGTGAGGGTGCCAAATAAGACTATCACAGATTGGTTCTCCTTCCCTGGTTCCTGTTTGATCTTCGCACACAATCAAAAACTTAAAACAGCAGCTGAAAGATTTTAAAAGCTCTCGCTGAATCCAGCAGGTAATGGAGCCACCAAGTATTTACCCTCTAAAAGATGATGTCTTCTGAGCAAAATCGAATATGTACCATCCACATCAAGGCTAATAAATCTTCACTGAGGCTAGTGCAATTTCACAAACCTTCCTCCACGACATTGGTCAAGTCCCATTCAAGTTTTTCCTGGCATCATTCAAGCGAAATTGATACACTTGTCAATCAAGATGACCACACCGCACCAATCAGGAGCCCCAATCGATTGCTCATTTTGAGAGATGGGATGCAAGATAGTGTTAAGATTGATGGTGGGATGCAGGATGAAAAACAGAAAATCACACATTATGGACGTTACACGGGAAACTGCGACTCTTACCAGGTAGAATCAAGATAAATTTTCTAACTAGGTGGGATGGTGGGATTGAGCCAAAAATAGTGGCGGAATGCGAGATTGCAAAAACCTATGTTGGACCCTCGACAGTGGCAGGTAACGATAACAGTGATGAGCAAGGGGTGATAAGTGACAGGTGGTGTATTGACAGTAATAGGTGTCTGGTCAGGTAAAAAAACTGTGCCTTTTTTGAATTCCATTATCAGTTTACCAATACCATGCAACCAACCTGTTGTATTTGAAGTGTGTTACCAAGCCCAAGAAGATACAAAGAAATGCAGTTGTTACATAAATAATTGAGGTCACGGGATGGTTCAGTCCGCCAAGTTTGCTAGTGTCCTTACTACCTGTATGTAAGGAAACATGAAGACAAAATTTCATTAAACTCTTAGTAACTATAAACTTGTGTAATAGTGCCAAATCATGTGCACTAAAGGCATCCGCGGTCGAGTGTCGATCAATACCCTCAATCGATACCCTCGCTCGATCGACCCGCGATCAATACTCCATTGACACTCCATCAACACCTCTGTTGACACTCCATCAACACCTCTGTTGATACTCCATTGACATCTCGTTCAACAGTCAGTTGAGAGTCGACTGATTTTCGATCGATTCAAATGAGTCGATCAACACTCGGCCAACTATAGACCGACTGTTGATCAAGTGTCAATAGAGTGTCGAACGAGTATCAATCAGGATGATGATCGAGTATTGATCGAGATGTCGATTGAGGGTATCGATCGACACTCGACCACGGATGCCTTTAGTGCACATGATCCATGGTGCCTAATGAACTTAAGAATAGCTTATATACAAGAAGCTTACATTAGGTACTTCACTGAAGAGCAAGATCAATGATAACAACGCTTAACTGCGCATAAAATGAGATCAAAACTAAGCTTTTAGAATCTTATAAATTAGTTTGATCACCAGCTCCTTACAGTTTCCGTTTAGTGAATGAAGGTCAGCCACAAAATTGGATAAGTTTGTGCAGCACATTGCACAGGTGTCCTCAGTTCTAGGTAGCTCCGCACTTTGTAATAAACTACAGTGCACATTTGCTCTTTATAGGCAAGTTCATCCAGTAGAACATACCAATGAATTCTCTCCACAGCTCAAAATTCAACCAAAGCGAAAACATAAACCTTTGAATTATGCCTTCAAGGAGGCCGGTGTTATATGAAGAAAGAAAACCTGATGAAAATAACCGCTGATCAATTGCCATTTGATTCCCAGGGGTACCACCGGGTGACACTTCGATTCTTTCCTAGCCTGACTCCTGTCCTTATATTTCAACATACATAATTAATTCCTAATGTTGCGCGGGATGGCTGCTACGGTCAGACGGATCGTTTCCACCACGAAAGCTCCTGGAGCTATTGGAGCTTACAAGTAAGATCTATATAACGTTTATAGAAATCAAGGACCGTGAAGGACAGAAAACCATCGTTGACCGATTTCTTCTCTGTCTTTGCTAAAAAAAGGGACCTAGACATTTTTTAAAAAATATGCCACGTGAACTGATAGGTTGTGTTCATCTAGGTAGAAACATCTTAAAGAAAAGAAAGCTTACAGACAGTTCGTGTACAGTTAGCCAAGGTGCAAACATTTGATATGCGAAACTTACCGGGCCTATGTGAGTAGAAATTTCCCCCCCGCCCCCACCCTCTCTAACCTCGAAGGGTGTTTAATTTGTACCAGGTTCGGTGGAGCGAACAGTTACACTTAATTTACTCCGAACTGAAAGGTCCATTAAACAGCATGGCTACTGTAAGAAAGATTGTTCATACTTCGAAAGGGGTTCAACCGATCCCTGGTGTATACAGGTATATTTTCTGTTAATTAAGCTTATGTCTGTGCTTCTGCACAGGGTTGTGCAAGAAGCTTTTTGTGACAAGAAATTATTAATTCATGAACTCTTGGATTTTTCCTTAACTTCTGGGGTATCTTGTAAGCTGTCTGATTTTGGTTTTTATTGAACTTATTCTTCTGATTCAGTGTAAGTAACCCACTGTTTATGGTGAGTTTTGCTGTCTACATGAAAATCTTTGCGTTTCTAATCACTTGACAGCCAAGCTGTGATTGCTGATAAAACAATGTACGTTTCTGGACAACTGGGACTTGATCCTCAGGTAATATTACTGAAATTTTATTTGTAACTCTTAAATTAGTAATGCAAGATAAACAAACACACCCTTTCTTGACTGAAAGTAGTCACCTAGTTGGGTGGGGAAGGGAGGGGGGTAATTGTGGTGCCTGGAACATTCAGGACCACTCTCCCAGGAACTGTCGTGCAAGCATATGCAAGTACCATTTGCCATTAGTTTCTATCTCTCCCTTGGTGTTTCCTGCATCTTTGTGCATTTTCNTGCAGTTGCCTTTAGTCTGAATGGCCATACTTGCATTTAAAGTCCTTTAAAGTCTCAGTGTAGAAAAATGCTATTTTTGCGTTCTTGCAAAGTCTGCCATCTACCGTTCACCAACTCTACTAAGACTTCTACTAAGGGGCTCAGGGTGCATATCCTCTGCACACCTTCCTCTGAGTTCCTGCTATTAATGCTAACACTGCGCCTATGGACCACGCCTCACTGAAGCAGATGCCTTGTCTGTCTTGTACACTCAATCATTTTATTTTTACATTTCACAGCTTGGAAGAGTAGAGATTGAAGCAGTGGCCATTGTGGGTGAGGTAAAGGACGAGTAGACAGACATGCACTGCCGTGATGAGCACAAAAATCTTAAGATAATCAAAATTCATATATGTCAAGAGGTAGAATTGTCTGCATTGTAATGTTATGATTGATGAATAATCAAGATGAAACCAATGAAATAAATATTTTGGCCTTTTCAGACTTTGTGATAGACTACTTTTTCATTCAGAATTTTAGTTGACTGAATAATGTGAAAGTACGTTACCTTTAAGCTGCCTCCCCACCGAAAGTGTTACGCTTAAGGGCTGGAATTTCAGAAAATTTGTACATTTTCACTCCTAAGTCAGTACTGATTACTTGACACCACAGAGATAATTGCGATGACCCTGATTGGTTCTTATTGGGATTTTACCCCTGGAGTAACAATCAATCACATTATTGCACGTCACGTCCAGTGAGAGAAGTTTCTCACATCACACAGTTTTTCCCGCCAAAAAGTGCGCTTCTTGTCCCTGAGGAAGTGATTCTTCTCCAGTCTTAATTTTTTTTCAAACACCGTTTACTTTTATAACTAGGTTTAACCGCGCTTTTCTCATCGAAGATTTTCTTCTTTTCTTCAGGTTACCACAAGTAAACTGTGAAGGATATTTTAAATCTTTTGGAGACTTTTATAACTTCACTAACGGCACCGTAATGAAGATATTAATCACAGTAGACTTTGGACCACCTCGCTTCTAAAAGACTGCCTTTTGAAGGCAATTTGAACGCGTTTTGGTCAAATCCAGTGGCGGATCCAGACCTTGAATTAAGGGGGGTGAGGGCGGTTTTGTTTGCTCGCCCTGCCGGCTTTTCTTCCTTCTGTTATTCTTCGTTTTTTACCCAAAATAAAGGGGGCCAGGCCCCGCGGGCCCCTCCCCTAGATCCGCCACTGAAATCGTAGCTAAATTATGTCGAAATACCTTCGTTAACGTTTGTATAGCAAATGCACCTGAAACATTTAGCTAAAGATATTTGGTATCTTTTCAAGACACGAGGACAGACTTTGAAAAAAGATGCCCGACTTTTTCAAGGCAATTTGAGATCAAGGCCTTTTCCAATGTGATGGATTTTCTCTGGTAACTCATTCTAACATCCCTGCCGGTGTAGCGCTTCAGTGCACTATTATAGTTCTTAATAAAGGTGGCGCATTATTTTCAGGTTTCTATTTATGGAGACACTATCGATAGGTCCTCTTTTAACACGCATTTTCTTCACTGTGGCCCGTCAGTCGTCTGATAAACAGGCTGAGAGGTTTTCTTTTGTTGCTATTACGTGCACGAAGGTACGCGGGAATCTCCTCTGCAGCCAGTTCACCGAATCGTTGAACTCAAGGCTCTAGGAGGTTCTGGCATATAGAACACTCACTCGAACTGTCAGGGAAGTCAACTTGCAAGCTAACGTATGTTTGAAACATCCCACTGTCTTATAAAAATTTTACTAAGAGCGTGAAAGAAATTTTGAAATAATTATACTGATTATAGATTCTGTTACTCTCTAAATCTTTTCTATTTCTTCTGTTCGTCATGTGTGGTATGGTTCACGACCCTCGCTTCACGGTTTTACGGCGCCCTATTTCGTTCAATAAGTGGACTTTTGCCATCTTTTTGGGATCTGGGAAATTAAGGCCCCGTCAAAATCTACGCCAGAGGAATTTGAAGACGGAGGTTTCACTCTGAAAACTCATCAAAAGTTTTCCGTCCACACTACGCTGAAGAAATTGAAAACGCAACAGTCATCCCGCTCGGTCATTTTGGATGTCATGTTGAGTAAAACTCGGGCAAAGAAAAATCATGATTACCGTAACGGGGGTCGTTTTCTAAAAGCTCCGTTTTCAAAACGTTTTCCGTCCACACCAAAAGGTAAAGCCGGCGTTTTCAAATTCCTCCGGTTTGAAGAGCGTTTTCGAGAAGCTCCGTTTTCGTGACGGATTAGTGTGGACAGTAAGCCTAACCTAAGAAATAAAGCTACGTCTTCAAATTTCTCCGTTGAAAGAAATTTTGAAATAATAGAGATTCTGTTGCTGTCGTTCGTCATGTTTATATGTAGAGATTAAATTATTTCACGGCCCTCCTTTCACGGTTTCGCGACGTAATAGGACTTGCCATCTTTTTGTGAGTTGAGAAATTAAAACATCTGGGGCCCGTTTCTCGAAAGCACCGGAAACTTTTCGGGTCCGTTAAGCCATAGCAAAATCTCGAACCTTACGATTACCGAGCTGTTTTATTCGCATATTCTTAATATGAAGAGAGGTTTCCTTTATACAAGAAGTTTCAGGCGTATACACTTCTCCGAATTTAGATACAGATGAACTAAAAATGGCTTTACGGGCCCGAAAAGTTTCCGAAGCTTTCGAGAAACGGGCCCATGGTCGAAATTTATCGAATTCCTGGCGAGCAACGATTCAGAGTCCACCGGATTTTAGGCCCAAATTCCAACCAGGAGCTGTCTACAACATCGGGGTTACAACGTTCAATTCATTACTTTGGTAGAACATTTACCCAACACTTTTATTGCATTCTACCAATGAACGATATCCACTGGGTTAAGTTATTTTATTTGAAATTGAGACGTTTTGATTCAGAAATAACATTGCATCTTTGTATTCTTCCATTGAAAGTTTCTGTTTCTCAAAATATCATCAAATACTAATTTTGCTATACGTATGGGCCACTTAAAATCTGAAATTATATAAAATAACTATAATCTGGCTGAAATTGAAAAATTAATTAACTAGCGTTTTTTACTAATCACACTTTAAAGTTATATCATACACCGCCCTGATCCTAGTAATCTTTTAAATGTTTTCTGTTGAAACGATTTCTTGGGATTTATAAACTACACTTTTCACACAAGAGAGAAATAAAATTATCGCGCTATGAAAAAATGAAAAGTTTAGTTGTCCTTTTTCTATCTATCTCTTTGAGTGATCAACTCTCTTTTTGTTAGCCTGTTCCAGGCGTGGGTTGCTTAAAGAATAATAGAAATAGCGAAAAAAAGAAATACCGAATTCGCGCTGCTCTCCGACTTACCGAATGCCTGTAACAAGTTGGAATAGGCAATCCTCGTAGCGGGTTTTCTTGACAATTAGAAAATACTCTCTAATTCATTAATTATAATACAGTACTTTGCTTCTCTAATAAACTGTAAGCGGGATATTGGATCGTTTTATATACAGTGGCTGTCTAAAGAAATCCTGTTTGATAAGTTGGGTCGTGCATCGTGCTTTGACTAGCCAATCAGAACGAAGATGTTGCCTTCTTAGCCAATCAGATGCGAAATCAAAGTAATTCATGATTTGGCGAGTATGAATTTTCCCGCGCTTTCCGCCTTAGACTGCAAGCAGTCGATTTTTGTAGGAAAATGCCTTTAGTCTAAATACTAACTTGATCGTTTCTAATAAGCTCCTTTTAAATGTAAACTTCCCCCTTCTCCAATTTGACTCTTGACTGATGAATTATTCAGATTTATCAGACTTCTAGATTGTGCCTGTATCTCTAAATGAATGTGTACATACATACAAAAAACAAAACTCAAGTGGTAAAAATGGAACTGTGAACAATGGTAGTTTTAACCGGGCTAAAAATTTCTCAACTGTCTTCACTCGCTGGTGTTTCTTCCTGAGGCTGGACGTCTTCACTCTTTTGTCCTTCTCCTTCTCCTGACGGTTCTTCAGCTTGTGGTTCCTCGGCCGCAGGATTCGATTCCTCAGCCGCCGGTTGCGATTCACTGTCCGCGGGTGGTGCATCTTCATCTGCGGGTTTCGATTCTTCGGGTGCAGGTTGCGTTTCCTCCGCGTTTTCTCCTTCGGATGGTTTCTCTTCTTCCACTTGCGCAGTCTGTTCACTTTCTTTTTGCGCTTCTGTTTCGCCTTCACCTACTGCGCTTTCTTCTGCTGGCTTTTCGGCTTCACTCTGTTCTCCTGCGTGTTCTCCATCAGTTTTATCTTCACCGCTAGTTTCCGCTGGTGGGGCTTGCTCTGATGTCCCCGCTTCCTCTTCACTTTCCTTCACTTGCTGATCACCTTCGTCTTTAGGAGCCGTGCTTTCATCCACGGCTTGGCTTTCCTGTACGACTCCTTCGTCCTTACTCGTCTCCTCTTCAGCTTGATTAGCTGGTTCTTCGTCGTGATCTAAAGGGATTTCCCGCAGTACTTCTCTCGATTCAGCGCCCAGAGGATCCTCTCGAGGTTCGGTCTCGTTTGCTTTCTCAGGGGCAGAGCTTTGTGGTTGATCTACCGCGGCATCTTGATCTGCAAGGAAACAAAACAGCCGTTTTAATAAATCAGCCGATTTGTCAAGAGTTGCATTAATTAAAATCCTCTCTTACTTTTCTTCGACTGAAAAGCATCGATAAACCGTTTAAACATAGCTGTATTCCCTTTCTTCTTTAACCGTTAAAGAGGGCGTAGGTGGTAAAGAATAAAACCTGCTCGTCTTCCACAACAAGGCTGCAGTGAAATTTTAACTTTGTAACTCGTATCTGTCATTCTTAATACTGAGATATCACTCGTTGACCAATGAAGAT